GGTGGGCAGGAGCAGCAGCCCCAGCAGCAGCAGGACCAGCCCCAGCCGCAGCCGCCGTCCCAGCAGCACCCGCCGCAGCCGTGGGCTCGTCTCCCGCCTGGTTGGCCCGGCACCTCCGGAGGCGGTGGCCATGGTGGCGGCCCGCGCAGCTTGGCGTCTACCAGCGGCTCCAGTGCTGTGACCTGCCAGTACCAGCTTCAGACCGGGCCTCTCCGCGGCACTCTGTGCCGCCGCCCGCACCCGACCGCCCGCTGTTTCCGCCGCCTCGCCGATCTTTTTCGTCGTCGCTTTGGCCCGGCCCCGGACCTCCCTGACTGGCACAGCCTGCTCCGCCAGGGCGTGCCGATCTTTGAGTTAGACATGGATCAGATAGGTGCTGCTTTGCATGCTTTGTATGCTGACGCTTCTAGTGTTGCTGGATCTTACTACCCTGTGTACTCTAGTTTAGGTGTTTCACCCTTGTGTAGCTTAGCTTCCCCTGCTGCGACAGGCGTAGGACTGCCTAGGTTGCCTAGTCTAGTCGCTGCACCGGCTCCGTCCCCGGCCTCCGCCACTGCGTCGCTGTCCTTCACTCTCGACTCTGGTGCTTCTGCCTGCTTCTTCCGCGACCGTTCCACGCTCACGCCGCTTGCTGCACCTGCTGTTGTCTCTCTCGCTGACCCCTCTGCGGGTCCGGTCGTCGCGCGCAGTTCTACGTCCCTTCCTTGTCCGGCAGTTCCCTCGGGCTCCCTTACTGGCCTCCACGTTCCCTCGTTCTCCAGGAACCTGGTTGGTGTCGGCTGTCTCCAGGACCTCGGCGTCACCACCACGTTCCCCGGGCACGAGCGGTTCGCTGTCTGTTCTGAGGCTGTCTCAGGTTCCCCCCTTGCGACGTTCCCCCGGGACCCGGTGTCCGGTCTGTTTACCCTACACACCGCTTCCCCCCCGGTTGGTGCGTCCTCCCAGGTCGCTGCAGCTTGCTCGTGTCGGTCCCTCACTCACCCCTCCCTTCTCTGGCACCACCGCTTAGGTCACCCTGCTCTCCCGCGTCTGCGTCACATGTCCCAGCACGGTCTTGTCTTAGGTCTCCCCGCGTCGCTCCCTGCCCTTCCTCCCTCGACTGCGCCACCGTGCACGCCTTGCGTCGAGGGTCGGCTCCGCCGTGCTCCTCACTCCTCCTCGCTGCGTCCTGCTACTGCCCCCCTTCAGACCCTGCACTTGGACGTTTGGGGCCCTGCCCCCGTCCCCGGACCGCGCGGTGAGCGCTACTTCCTTGTGCTCGTCGACGACTACACGCGCTACACCACGGTGTTTCCCCTGGAGCGGAAGGCCGACGTGCCCGACGTTCTTCTCCCGTGGGTTGTGGCTGCGCGTCTCCACCGCGGTCTCCCCGTGTTGTGTCTCCACTCCGACCGTGGCGGCGAGTTCGCCTCTGGTCGGCTTGGACAGTTCTGTCGTGCGGAGGGCATCACCCAGTCGTACACGTTGCCAGACTCGCCACAGCAGAATGGGGTTGCTGAGCGCCGCATCGGCTTGGTCATGGAGGTCGCCCGTACCTCCATGATCCATGCCGATGCCCCCCATTTTCTGTGGCCGTTCGCTGTTCGCTACGCGGCTCACCAGCTTAACCTGTGGCCACGCTCCCAGCGGCCGCAGGTTTCGCCGACCCTCCTTTGGACCGGGTCCCCCGGTGACGCGTCTGCGTTCCACGTCTGGGGCTGCCTTGCTCACGTTCGTGCCTCTGGCACGGACAAGCTCACTGCCCGCACTGTCCCCTGTGTCTTCCTCGGTTTCCCCCTGGACTCGTCTGACTGGCTTTTCTACCACCCGCCGTCTCACCGCTTCCTCCACTCTCGTGACGTCACCTTTGACGAGTCCGTCTCCTTCTACCGCCGCTTCCCTCACCGAGGTCTCCCAGTTGCCCCCCCCTTTTCCTTGCTCCCTCTCCCCCGGTAGCCCCTGCCCCTCTCCCGCCTCGTCCTGCCCCGTCTGGTGTCTCCCACGTCACTCCCCTCCCGTCGGTTGTCCCCGTTGAGGAGTCTGCTGACTCTGGTGGTACCCCCGGTCCGTCCTTGCAGCGTCCCCCTTCCCCGGTGCCTCCGCCCCCACTGTCGCAGTCGCCGACCCCGCTGCCGCCGCCGTCGCCGTCGCCGCCGCAGCCGTCGCCGCTGTCGTCGCCGCCGCCGCCGCTGTCGCTGCCGCAGCCGTCGCCGCTGTCGCCGCCGCCGCAGCCGTTGCCGCCACTGCCGCCGCTGCTCTCGGCCCCTGGGGGTGCTGGTGTGGAGGAGGGTGTTCGTCCTGCGGCTTCTGGGGGTGCCGCTGGTGTTGGAGGGGGTTCTCGCTCTGGGGGTGTTGGTTCTGGGGGTGCTGCTGTTGAGTGTTCTGCCGACGGTCGTTCTGCCTCTGCTGGTCCGAGAGTTCCGGCCCAGCCGTCGTCGCCGCCGCAGCAGCCGTCGCCGCCGGTTTCCGCTCTCCGCCTGCTCGGCCTTCCCTCCCCGGACCGCGCGCCGGTGTCTCCCCCACCGCCTCCTGACCTTCCTGTCTACGGTCCTGTGTTCCCGCCGCCAGACTCGTCTCCGGCCCGTCTTCCTCCTCGTTCCCCTCCTGTGTCTCCTCCGCTGTCCCCTGACCCTACCCCTCCGTCTCACGTTTGGGCTCGCCGTCCCTCCCGTGCTCGTCCCGTCTCTCCTGTCCTGCCCACCCACCCTATGTTGCTCCGTTCCCACTCGTCTCGTCCTCCCCTCCTCCCGTCCCCTCCTCCCTCGTCCCTTGCTGTTGCACCTCCTCCGTTCTCTGACTACCTCCGTGCTGCTCGTCCCCTTGTCCCTCGGGTCCTTGCCTCTCTTGTTACCGACCCTGCTGTTCCTGTCTCGCGCCTTGACGCGCTTGTCGCTGCTGTCGCTGACTTCGCCTCTACCCGCCGCCTTGACTACGCTACCGCTCTGGTCTCTGACCCTGCCCGTCCTCTGTCCGTCGGGGGTGCTCCTGCCCTTGGCAGTGACGTCCTAGAGGACAGGCAGTACGAGCTGGCTTTCCTTTCCGAGGCTGCTCCCCATCTCTGCTCCATGCTGTTAGTCCCTGAGGGTGACCCAGACGCCTTCGACATCCCGACCCCTCGCACCTACGCTGAGGCCACCTCGGGACCTTGGGCCTCTCAGTGGATAGCTGCCATGGAGCAGGAGATGGCATCTTGGAGATCCACCGGCACTTACGTCGACGCAGTTCCCCCGCCTGGGGTGAACGTAGTCGATGGTCGGTGGCTCTTCAAGGTGAAGCGCCCCCCTGGAGAGCCGCCTGTCTTCAAGGCGCGCTACGTGGCCAGAGGTTTCAGTCAGCGCGAGGGGGTTGACTTCTTCCAGACCTTCGCCCCGACCCCGAAGATGACCACTCTTCGGGCGCTGCTACACGTAGCAGCACAGCGTGACTACGAGCTTCACTCCCTCGACTTCTCTACTGCCTTTCTTCAGGGCAGCCTACACGAGCAGGTCTACCTGCGCCGACCACAGGGCTTCACTGGTACCTTCCCTCCTGGGACCCAGTGGCTTCTCAGGCGCCCGGTCTACGGCCTGCGTCAGGCTCCCCGCGAGTGGCACGACACGCTACGTGCCACGTTAGCAGACCTGCAGTTCTTTCCGTCCTCTGCTGACCCTTCACTGTTTGTGCGTTCCGGCCAGACTCCGTTCTACATCCTTGTCTACGTAGACGACCTGGTCTTCGCTACTCCTGACAGGGACGCACTGGCCTCTGTGAAGGCTGAGCTGCTGAAGAGACACACCTGCACTGACCTTGGAGAGCTGCGTCGCTATCTTGGCCTGCAGATCTCTAGGGACAGAGCAGCACGCACCATCACTCTGACCCAGTCACACTTGGTGCGTCAGGTCCTTCAGAGGTTCGGTCTTCAGTTCTCCTCTGCACAGCCCACACCTCTACCCGTAGACCATGGGCTCTCTGCTCCCGTTCCTGAGGAGCCAGTAGAGCCCAGTGGCCCCTACGCAGAGCTGGTGGGTTGCCTCATGTACCTGATGACTTGCACTCGCCCAGATCTCGCATACCCTCTCAGCATCCTGGCTCGCTTTGTGGCTACAGGCAGACACCGACCTCAGCACTGGTCTGCCGCTAAGAGGGTTTTGCGTTATCTTGCTAGTACATCAGGCATGGGGTTAGTGCTAGGAGGACGCAGGCCAGTGGTCCTTACTGGACACACAGACGCTTCTTGGGCAGACGACGCTGAGACGCTCAGGTCGTCGCAGGGCTACTGTTTCAGCCTTGGTTCGGGTGCTATCTCTTGGAGATCCACTCGCTCGTCGTCTGTGGCTCAGTCTAGCTGTGAGGCTGAGATCTACGCTGGTGCCATGGCGGCACAGGAGCTCCGCTGGCTGACCTTCTTGCTCACAGACTTAGGTGAGCGGCCTAGCTCTGCCCCGGTCCTGTACGCTGACAACAGGGCCATGATACTCCTGTGTCAGGAGCCTCGGCTTGAGGGCAGAGCGAAGCATATCCAGCTGCGGTACTTCCTCCTGCGCGAGCTACAGCAGCGCCGCCAGGCCCGCGTAGTTCACTTGGCCTCAGGTGCCAACACAGCTGATATCTTTACTAAGGCGCTTGCGCCTAAAGATCATCAGCGGCACTGTGTACAGCTTGGTCTTGTTCCTGTAGCTGCTCCCCTGTTAGGATCCTGATTGTGTACTCTCTATTATATATGCTTGTCAGACTGGCCTTGTGGCCTTACCTCCAGTGGCTGGACTAGTAGTGCCACCCTGGCTTGCTTCAGTTTTGGTTGTATTCTTGCTGACTGGTCTCCAGACCCCTGCCTCAGTGGTTGGACTAGTAGTGCCGCCCTGAGCTGTATGCTTCTTGTTTAGTTTCACCCCTTGTCTAGCCTAGGGGGTGTGTCAACTTATACATATTATCTATGTAGAAGTTATAGGCTAGACTGAGGTATGCTTCTAGTGAGTACAACCAACTAGTATTTGTTCTAGGTTTCCACCTCTAGTAATTATTCGTTTCTACGTTAACAAGAACGGCCTTCACTATTTTAACTTCTCGCTTTAAAGACAGCACTTACACTAAAAGGCATTATTGATTTGTGTTTTACTCATACTACAGGCTGAACTTTCAGAACTCACACACGCAAATCCCAAAACAGTATCGAGAACAAGCAAGAGGGAACCTAGAACTGAGCTCTTGAATCCAACGGACAGATACCTCCGAGGAGAGACATGAACAAATTGAGGCCTTTGAGGAAAGGCGGGATCTTCACAGGAGGTAGGGTGCAGTGGCTTTCGGAAGAAAGACAATCATCATGAGGGCACTGTTGGGCACACTTAAAAACGGTGCTTAGGGCCTTCATGATGGCTGGCTTCCCCGAGTGTAGCCGGTTCAGGAGGGAGATGAGGGACGAGGGGGTCTGAGGTGAGGCTTGGGCGGAGGGTGAAAGAGCAGACTTCAGAGTCAACTCCCCCGACAAAGACTACCTTCAGGATGGCTGTCTACACCGACTGTAGACGAACCAGGAGGGAAGGAGGGAGGCCGAGGACTAGGCGGATTCGGATATGTGACATGTGATTCGGATTAGGTTGAGAACGGGGAAGGATATGTGATTCGGATTCAGGGAGAGGATCAGAGGGAAGGAGGGGAATCGAGGGAAGGGTCGGAAGCGCATGAGGGGTACTCGAGGTGATTGCTGCTGACTCGATTGGCTGCTGAGTCATGAGAGGACTCGGGAGGTTGAGAGTGCAGAGAGGAGAGGCGCGGTGAGTGAGGAGGTAAGCAAAAGCAGCAGACAGCCACGGAAGGATTGGGCGTCATAAGCTAAGCAGGATTCGGGCTGCTGCTGCTGCTGCTCCTCTTTACTGCTGCTGCTGCTGCAGCATGAGGCGCAGCTGGTGCTCCTTCTGCAGGTGCTGCAGGACCGCGGTGATGGTCGACAGCTCGCGCACCAGCGATACCAGCATATCCGCGCGCTGCTGCGCGTTCTCCAAGGAACCCGCGGAACCCGCGGAGTCCGCGGAGCCGGCGGAGACAGCGTCGGAGGTCGTGCCAGCGGCGGCGCAGCCAGATTCGCTGGCCGAAGCGCTGGGCGTGACGTGGCAGGCGGAGACGGAGCGCGACACGCTGCCGTACGACGACAACGGCGACGGCGGCGCCGCCAGAAACTCCGCGGCGGCTGACGCGGCGGCGGGCACGGCGGGAGCAGCGGGCGCGGGGAACACGGGTGGGAACGTTGGTGGCGACGGCACGAACTGAATCCCCTCGTCCTCTAGGGGGAAGAACGGGAAGGCGCTCTCGAGCGCAGCGGCGGAACCGGAATCGCAGGCGAAGGCGGAGTCGTGGGAGGGGGAGGCGGATACCGAAGCGGATGATGAGGAGAGGCCGAAGAGCTCCTCATCGGAGAGATTAAAGGCGTCGTCGAAGCGCGCCGAGTCGGACTTCTCGATCTCGTCGAAGAGAGCCGAATCGTCGGCCGACGGGCACTTCTCCATCTCCGGCCAGTCGAGCTCTGGGAGCTCCAGAATTGCACAGCTGTCGCCGCCGTTGTCACTGGCGACGTTGTCGCATGATGCGACGAGGAGGTCGTCGCCAGCGGAGAGAGTGGGGACAGAGGAGAGGGGAGAGGGAGAGGAGACAGGCGCGATCGGCGCCGCAGGTGCGCGAGCAGGAGCGGAAACGGGAGCGGGAACGGGAGCGGGAGCGGGAGCGGGGGTGGGGACAGCTGGCGCGACGGAGGGAGCGAGGGGAAGGAGCCCGGGCGCGGGGCATTCGGCGAAGAGCACGTTAGCGCCCGCGATCTCCAGCTGCACCCACTCGCTGCTGAACGTCTTCACTTCCGCGTCCGCGCCCGCGAGCTCCGCGGTAGATGCGCCGTTCGCCGCCGCCGCGAGGTTGCGCGCTGCGCGCAGCAGAGACTCCGCGGTCGCGCGGGAGACCACGACGGGGCGCATGTGGATGCCGCCGCCGACGGCGGTCGCCGCCGTGTGCGGGAAGTTGAGGCGGCGCTCCGCGCCGTGCGCGCCGTGCAGCATGAGCGCGGCGGTGTCGTAGACTCGCGCGGCCTCCTCCGCAGAGCTGTAGGACCCCAGCCACACGCGCGCGCGCGTGCGCGGCTCGCGGATCTCGCACACCCACTTGCCCCACGAGCGCTGCCGCACGCCCCGGTAGCGCTTGGCGGAGGGCTGGTTCGGGTGCTCGTTTTGAGAAGACGCGGCAACGGCGGCGGAGAGGGCGGGGGAGGAGGAGGGGGAAGAGGAGAAGACTCCGGAGAGGAAAGTGGAGTCAGAGGAAAGGCAGGGAGGGAGAGCAGCAGCTTGTGAGGGGACGACGCAAGACTCGTTAGAGACCTTGCGCTTGAGAGGGTTTGAAGATAGAAGAACGGAATCCATGGTGGCCATATTTCGAGTCGTCCGAGTCAAGTTGATGTGTTCCGTGCTCTCGTTTTGAAAGTACTTAAGTTGCTGCTGCTTGCTGCTCTCGCTCCCTGCCGATCCTTGGTTGATGGAGAAACTAGTCTGGTCGAAAGACGGTCTTGGATGGACGCTTGATTGCTATATCTGGATAAACAGAATGACGAGAAAGCGGGAGATAAATGGAGCGGTGGAAGTTCGGTGCTGCGTCGGCTTCGATCGAGGAGGTTGAGAGCGTTGAGGTAGGGTGGAGTGGGATTGGGTGCGAGTGAGGGGAATTTGGCGAGGGCAGCCGAGTCTAACTCCCTCCCTCACTCGGTTTTTCCAGATGACACGAATTGCCGAGATTCGACGCGGAGAGATGACCCGCACAGATCGAGCCACGTCGACACGGAGACGAAAAAAACGCGGTTCCCTCCAGAGCCTGCGACGCGGAGTCGTGCTGCCCAGGGCTGGGTTTTGGTGGGGGGCGCGGAAGGAGTGTCCGGGTGGGCACCGACCACGCAAGTGCCGCAGTCCCACGTGAACAGTTGCAGGACTTACCAGGCTGGCGTGGACTGGAAGCAGACGGCTAAACGCCAAACAGCACTGCCTGAGGAGAAAACTAACGGCACTGCAGATATGTAACGCTTCTAGCGACAAGGTACGGAAATTCGACGTCCGTCGTCTGAGATGCCAGTCGCGATTTGAAATTTTGACCGTGCGGAATAGCGGCGACCGGTACTATGACTTCGCGAGCGAGAATGCTGACGGTTTGCAGTCAAATGAGCTTCTGAAACAAGCAGCAAGTGCAACGCCGACAGAAGAACAGCGAAGGTACAGTTCCACCGACATTACGTGGCAATTGGCACTGTGGAGATCAAATGTGCACTATGCTGGACAATTATCCTGCCCAGTGGTCAATTTGCCTTGGCACGGCAGGTGGGTCCTTCTGCCCGAAAACGCGCACCAAAGTCTGTTCTTGACTGGCATCTGGTGTAGGTGAGAATTGGAAGTGGGGAAAACTGCAAAACTTCAGCACTGTCCAGAGCGCGTTACAGTAAGGGTGAGTATGACAATGAACGTTGATGAAGTTTATATATAACGATTGCTTGCTACTTCACGCTAAAAACGAGATTTCATGAGGTGCTTACACAAACACAATAATAGCTGCATTTTATAATAAGCCCCAAAGCCTTGGCTGTTTAGAGGAACACCGGTGGATTGTATAGATTGGTTGCATAGCCTTTATACCATAGACATGCAACTACATATCCTCCTATCCTCAAGTGCGGCCATTGCGATGCCACCGCCACGACTGCAACCGGAGCTTCACTATAAGCAGAGCAAGCAAGCGGAAGAAGATGAGCATGGCAACGAGGATGCACGCTTCCAGCCACCCACTCCCCGGTAACGGATTCCTCAGGCCCGATAGCTCAAGAGTAGCGGCACACGAGCACGTGTTGGCTGCGGTGCTGCTGCTCGTGTTGGAAGCGCTACAGTTGCCAGTGAACGATTCGGCAGAATCAAAGTTGATCCGCATTAGCAACTGAGGAAAGGAGAGTGTTCGATATTGGGGGGGAGGGGGAAGGGGGGAAGGGTGTTGGGCGTGAGTGTGGTTGAGTGCAGGGGTGGTGTAGGCAGGCCGGAGAAGGGTAGGTGTGAAGAGAAGGAGAGGGGTGAAGGAGAAAGGCGATGTATGCTATGCTAGTGTGGAACAACATATGAGGCAAGGTCGCATATAGGAGGGGGGAAGGTCGCAAATATGAATGCCTACAAGGTGAGCACTGAACAGAAAGGAGGGAGGAGGCAAACCTTGTCAACGCAAGTCGAGAAGGAGTGGTAGTGAAGTGGTCCTTGGTCCCACCCTCAAAGTGAGGAGAGTGTGTGTGATGGAGTGCAGGAGGAAGACCCACCTTGTTGATGCAAGCCGAGAGAAAGAGAGGTAGTGCGTCCATCCCACCCACACGTGAGGGGGGAGTGGTTGATAGCGTGCATGAGCAAGTGTGCACGCAGGGGAAGTGTGCACGCAGGAGGTACAAGGGAGACGACCCACCTTGTTAACATAGGTTGAGAAAGAGAGGTACTGCGTCCACCCCACCCACGCCGGGGGATTGAGAGATAAGAAATGCACCACCATAACCGACAGCAGCTGCAGAATAGCCGCAATCGAAATCGCCTGTTTCACTGTAGACGTCGCAGTCCCCACCGCCATGCCTATAGATGATGCCACCATTGTATCGAGTACAAGCACTAAAGTGAATAAGACGAACCGGCCGCCCGACGGGTTGAGCCCGGTCATCCAATAGACGATGCAGCTGTAGAAGACGGGCGGCAGGATCTCGTACGGCAGGCTGAGCAGCGTCCGGGCGGCGTAGTACGCGGAGATATGATACACTCCGTCCTCTTGCTCTTTTTGGACTGACTTGCGGTCCTCCAGGAAGGTGATGACGGAGGTGAGCATGGGGATGAGCCCCCAGAAGAACTGTGAGAAGAAGATGAGCCCCGCCATATCGCGAATGCCCTCGGCTGTGGTTGGATCGCGCTTGTACCAGAGGCAACCTGGGATGACATGGGGCAAGCGGTTGGAGGGCGGATGGAACTTGGAAGGGTGGGAATGAGAGAGGGAGGTGAGCATGGGGATGATCCCCCAGAAGAAGTGTGAGAAGAAGATGAGCCCCGCCATGCCGCGAATGCACATGGCTGTGGTTGGATCGTGCTTGCACCACAGGCAGCCTGGGATGAGGGGGATGAGGGGGATGGGGGGGACGAGGGGGATCGGGGGGATGGGGGGGATAGGGGGATGGGGGGGATGGGGGGGATGAGGGGGATGGGGGGGATGGGGGGGATGGGGGGGATGAGGGGGATGGGGGGGATGAGGGGGATGGGGGGGATGAGGGGGATGGGGGGGATGGGGGGGATGGGGGGATGAGGGGGATGGGGAGGATGGGGGGGATGGGGGATGAGGGGGATGGGGGGATGAGGGGGATGGGGAGGATGAGGATGATCCTTGAACATCTAGTCTGCTTGATTCACCTCTCGGTACGACCGCAGCTGCAGCTGCGCCTTAGTGCGTCAACCACTCTCACCTGCCAGCATGCCTCACCAGGCAGCAAGGTGCAGACGAAAAGGCTGACCGCCACGACGGCCACAAATATCCAGTCCTGATTCACCACCCGGTACGACAGCAGGTGCCCTAGGGTCTCTACCAGTCTCACCTGCCAGCATGCCTCACCTGGCAATAAGGTGCAAACGAGCAGGCTGACCGCCACGACGGCCACAAATATCCAGTCCTGATTCACCACCCGGTACGACAGCAGGTGCCCTAGGGTCTCTACCAGTCTCACCTGCCAGCATGCCTCACCTGGCAATAAGGTGCAAACGAGCAGGCTGACCGCCACGACGGCCACAAATATCCAGTCCTGATTCACCACCCGGTACGACAGCACGTGCCCTAGGGTCTCTACCAGTCTCACCTGCCAGCATGCCTCACCTGGCAATAAGGTGCAAACGAGCAGGCTGACCGCCACGACGGCCACAAATATCCAGTCCTGATTCACCACCCGGTACGACCGCACGTGCCCTAGGGTCTCTACCAGTCTCACCTGCCAGCATGCCTCACCTGGCAATAAGGTGCAAACGAGCAGGCTGACCGCCACGACGGCCACAAATATCCAGTCCTGATTCACCACCCGGTACGACCGCACGTGCCCTAGGGTCTCTACCAGTCTCACCTGCCAGCATGCCTCACCTGGCAATAAGGTGCAAACGAGCAGGCTGACCGCCACGACGGCCACAAATATCCAGTCCTGATTCACCACCCGGTACGACAGCAGGTGCCCTAGGGTCTCTTCCAGTCTCACCTGCCAGCATGCCTCACCTGGCAATAAGGTGCAAACGAGCAGGCTGACCGCCACGACGGCCACAAATATCCAGTCCTGATTCACCACCCGGTACGACAGCAGGTGCCCTAGGGTCTCTACCAGTCTCACCTGCCAGCATGCCTCACCTGGCAATAAGGTGCAAACGAGCAGGCTGACCGCCACGACGGCCACAAATATCCAGTCCTGATTCACCACCCGGTACGACCGCACGTGCCCTAGGGTCTCTACCAGTCTCACCTGCCAGCATGCCTCACCTGGCAATAAGGTGCAAACGAGCAGGCTGACCGCCACGACGGCCACAAATATCCAGTCCTGATTCACCACCCGGTACGACAGCAGGTGCCCTAGGGTCTCTACCAGTCTCACCTGCCAGCATGCCTCACCTGGCAATAAGGTGCAAACGAGCAGGCTGACCGCCACGACGGCCACAAATATCCAGTCCTGATTCACCACCCGGTACGACAGCAGGTGCCTAGGGTCTCTTCCAGTCTCACCTGCCAGCATGCCTCACCTGGCAATAAGGTGCAAACGAGCAGGCTGACCGCCACGACGGCCACAAATATCCAGTCCTGATTCACCACCCGGTACGACAGCAGGTGCCCTAGGGTCTCTTCCAGTCTCACCTGCCAGCATGCCTCACCTGGCAATAAGGTGCAAACGAGCAGGCTGACCGCCACGACGGCCACAAATATCCAGTCCTGATTCACCACCCGGTACGACCGCACGTGCCATAGGGTCTCTACCAGTCTCACCTGCCAGCATGCCTCACCTGGCAATAAGGTGCAAACGAGCAGGCTGACCGCCACAACAGCCACAAATATCCAGTCCTGATTCACCACCCGGTACGACAGCAGGTGCCGCTGCGCCAGCACCCGAAACTGCAAACCCCACGACGTTACCCACCTCTTCCCACTCCCTCCTCCTCCTCGTCCGCCACCTCCGATTCCCCCTCCCCCCCCCCCACTCACTCCCCTCCAGTCCATACTCGCATCGACATCCCTCACTCTAGTACCCTCCCCCACTCCCTCCCCCACCTCCACATCCCCATTCCCCTGACCCTCACCCCCCTCCCCGCTTTTAGCAGACGCCTGGGACACTGTGGCAGCTGTCGAGGGCATGGCAGCCCGCTCTATCTCCCTGGCAGCGTCCCCGGTGGCCCAGAGGCGGATGAGGTTGGTGGACGTGCCGAAGTGAATGGACGCATCTGCTGCTTCGGGGGCTGTCAGATCCTGTTGGTGAAGGGGAGAGGGTTGGGAATGGGAGGGGAATGTAAGGTCAGCATCGCCGGTGGCCCACAAACGGATGAGGTTGGTGGACGTGCCAAAGTGAATGGATGCATCTGCTGCTTCGGGGGCTGTCAGATCCTGTTGGTGAAGGGGAGAGGGTTGGGAATGGGGAGGGGAATGTAAGGTCAGCATCGCCGGTGGCCCACAAACGGATGAGGTTGGTGGACGTGCCAAAGTGAATGGACGCATCTGCTGCTTCCGGGGCTGTCAGATCCTGTTGGTGAAGGGGAGAGGGTTGGGAATGGGGAGGGGAATGTAAGGTCAGCATCGCCGGTGGCCCACAAACGGATGAGGTTGGTGGACGTGCCAAAGTGAATGGACGCATCTGCTGCTTCGGGGGCTGTCAGATCCTGTTGGTGAAGGGGAGAGGGTTGGGAATGGGGAGGGGAATGTAAGGTCAGCATCGCCGGTGGCCCACAAACGGATGAGGTTGGTGGACGTGCCAAAGTGAATGGACGCATCTGCTGCTTCGGGGCTGTCAGATCCTGTTGGTGAAGGGGAGAGGGTTGGGAATGGGGAGGGGAATGTAAGGTCAGCATCGCCGGTGGCCCACAAACGGATGAGGTTGGTGGACGTGCCAAAGTGAATGGACGCATCTGCTGCTTCGGGGGCTGTCAGATCCTGTTGGTGAAGGGGAGAGGGTTGGGAATGGGGATTAGGAAATGGGGGATGTAAGAGCAGTGCTCTATCTCCCTGGCAGCATCCCCCGTGCCCCAGAGGCGGATGAGGTTGGTGGACGTGTTTTGTTTTTGAGAATTCTCAAAAACAGAGGCGGATGAGGCTGGTGGACGCGCTGAAATGGGTGGACGCGCTGAAATGGATGGACGTGCTGAAATGGGTGGACGCGTCCGCTGCCTTGGGAGCTGTGAGGTCCTGCTTGGTGCAAAGTGGAACAGAGAGAGGGAGCGAGACGAGGGATCAGGAATATTGCCCTCTATCTCCCTGGCAGCGTCCCCGGTGGCCCAGAGGCGGATGAGGTTGGTGGAGGAGCCGAAAAGGATGGTCGCGTCCGCTGCTTCAGGGGCAGAGGAGGACTCTGGCGGAAGAGCTCAGCTCAGCAGCACTGGTATTGGCCCCCATGGTATGGCCGATGGAGTCAAAGTACAGCAGAGCAGAGCGGGCAGGCGCACGGTTCGGTTAGGGAGTAGGGAGGAGTGGAAGACAGCGAGGGCCATAGGGTTATGGCAGGGAGAGGCATATGGTGTACGGAGCAGGGGGCAGCGAGGAGTGGAGTGGAGCACTCACCAGGAAGAACTCAGCAGCGCTTGCCCCCATGGTGTAGCTGATGGAGTCAAAGTAGGGCAGCGCGGCGTGGGCAGAGGAACCCCCCACAGTGGGGCTAGGGAGCAACCAGAAAGACGATTTTTGAGTCGGCTAAAAAATCACCTGGCAGAGCGGCGTGGGCAGAGGAGGCCAACAGTGGGGCTGGGGAGCAACCAGAACGACGGTAAGAAAGGAGCAGGCACTCACAAGGAAGAACTCTGCAGCACTGGTGTCGGCCCCCCCATGGTGTAGCCGATGGAGTCAAAGTAGGGTAGCGCGGCACCCGCAGCGCCGAAGAAGATGGGATTGCCGTCGGTGATGAGCAGCAGATGCGTGAAGAGGGAAGGTGTGTGGAGAGGGAGAGAGGGGGGGGGCTCGGGGGCGTTCAGAAAGACTTATGGGGAACTGGAGCAGGGGGTGGGAGGGAGGGGCTCACCAGAAAGAATTCGGCAGCGCTTGTATCAGCTCCCATGGTGTAGCCGATGGAGTCAAAGTAGGGTAGAGCAGCGCCCGCTGCGCCAAAGAAGATGGGGTTACCGTCGGTGATGAGCAGCAGATGCGTGAAGAGGGAGAACATCTTGGCGGATGGCTGCTTCATGGTGGCTACTACGGATCGGCCGGCTAAGGCGTATGAGTGCAGGGCTCGTGTAATGCGGAGGGCCATAGCTCCATCGAGACTGCACAGAGGAAGAGCGGATGAGCAGCAGGTGAGTGAAGAGGGAGAACATCTTGGCGGACGGCTGGTTCAGCATGGTCACCACTGATCTGCCTGCTAGCGCATAGGAGTGCAGCGCCCTGGTGATTCGCAGGGCCATAGCTCCATCCAGACTGGGACCAGGAGCGGGGGGGAAGTGGGGAGAGGGGGGAAGGATGAGGGAAGAAGGTTGGATTGCCGTGGGTGATGAGCAGCAGCACGTGCGTGAAGGGGGGCAACATCTTGGCCGAGGGCTGCTTCATTGTTGCTACCACTGATCTGCCTGTTAGCGCGATTTGAGTCGACTCAAAACACATCTGCCTGCTGCTGGCGCGTAGGAGTGGAGTGAGCGGGTGATTCGCAGGGCCATAGCGCCATCCAGGCTGGGAAATGGCCCTGCGATTCACCCGCAGGGTTCATCCGGGTCCGGATGGGTTCTGCGAATCACCCGCAGGGCCATAGCGCCATCCAGGCTGGGACATGGTGGGGGAGGGGGTGAAAAAGAAAGCAAACACGGGGTTGCTGTGGGTGATGAGCAGCAGATGCGTGAAGAGGGAGAGCATCTTGGCCTACGGGTGGTTCATCGTGGCCTCCACTGATCTGCCTGCAAGGGCGTACGAGTGCAGGGCTCGATTGGCCGCGCAGGGCTCGACTGACACGCAGGGCTCAACTGACGCGCAGGCCTCGACTGACGTGCAGGGCCATTGCACCATCCAACCTGAGAGAGGGAAGGGGGTGGCATGCCAGGTGCGTGAAGAGGGGAGAACATCTTGGTGGACGGCTGCTTCATCGTTGCTACCAGTGACCGGCCCACCAGGGCATAGGAGTGCAGGGCTTGGGTAAAGCACAGGGCCATAGCTCCTTTGAGACTGGCAGGAGATCGGGAAGGAGGAATGGAAGAAGACGAGGGAAGAGGGAAGAGGGAAGGAGGAAGAGGGAAGAGGGAAGAGGGAAGAGAAAGAACATCTTGGCGGATGGCTGCTTCATCGTCGCTGCTACTACTGATCTGCCTGCTTGTGCGTAGGAATGCAGTGCGCGGGTTATACCAAGGGAGTGCAGGGCGCGCGCGGGTGATGTGCAGGGCCATGGCACCGTCAGGAACGTTGGGGGATTGGGGAAGGGGGGCTGGAAGAAGAAGTGCGAAGAGGGAGAAGTGCACGGTCCTTCCTACTTTAGAGCCATGGCGTCATCTTTTGAGGCGCCTAAAAATAGACTGCTTGGCGTGATCGAGACTGGGTGAAAGAGAGGGTGAGAAAAAGGGAGGGAGGGAGGCATCATGTGGGGATTGACATTGGGGGGGAGGCATCATGTGGGGGGGGAATCGACATTGGGGGGGGAGGCATCATGTGGGGGATTGACATTGGGGGGGGAGGGGCATCATGGGTGGGGGGGGGAATGACATTGGGGGGATGAGGCATGAGGCATGAGGCGGGCATGAGGCACATTGAGGCATGAGGCTAGCATGAGGCATGAGGCATGGCATGAGGCATGAGGCATGAGGCATGAGGCATGAGGCATGAGGCATGAGGCATGAGGCATGAGGCATGAGGCATGAGGCATGAGGCATGAGGCATGAGGCATGAGGCATGAGGCATGAGGGCATGAGGCATGAGCATGAGGCATGAGGCATGAGGCATGAGGCATGAGGCATGAGGCATGAGGCATGAAGGCATGAATAGGCATGAGGCATGAGGCATGAGGCATGAGGCATGAGGCATGAGGCATGAGGCCATGAGGCATGAGGGCATGAGGCATGAGGCATGAGGCATGAGGCTATGAGGCATGAGGCATGAGGCATGAGGGCATGAGGCAATGAGGCATGAGGCATGAGGCATGAGGCATGAGGCATGAGGCATGAGGCATGAGGCATGAGGCCATGAGGCATGAGGGCATGAGGCATGAGGCATGAGGCATGAGGCATGAGGCATGAGGCATGAGGCATGAGGCATGAAGGCATGAGGCATGAGGCATGAGGCATGAGGCATGAGGCATGAGGCATGAGGCATGAGGCATGAGGCATGAGGCATGAGGCATGAGGCATGAGGCATGAGCATGAGGCATGAGGCATGAGGCATGAGGCATGAGGCATGAGGCATGAGGCATGAGGCATGAGGCATGAGGCATGAGGCATGAGGCATGAGGCATGAGGGCATGAGGCATGAGGCATGAGGCATGAGGCATGAGGCATGAGGCATGAGGCATGAGGCATGAGGCATGAGGCATGAGGCATGAGGCATGAGGCATGAGGCATGAGGCATGAGGCATGAGGCATGAGGCATGAGGCATGAGGCATGAGGCATGAGGCATGAGGCATGAGGCATGAGGCATGAGGCATGAGGCCATGAGGCATGAGGCATGAGGCATGAGGCATGAGGCATGAGGCATGAGGCATGAGGCATGAGGCATGAGGAGGCATGAGGCATGAGGCATGAGGCATGAGGCATGAGGCATGAGGCATGAGGCATGAGGCATGAGGCATGAGGCATGAGGCATGAGGCATGAGGCATGAGGCATGAGGCATGAGGCATGGAGGCATGAGGCATGAGGCATGAGGCATGAGGCATGAGGCATTGAGGCATGAGGCATGAGGCATGAGGCATGAGGCATGAGGCATGAGGGCATGAGGCATGAGGCATGAGGCATGAGGGCCAACCCTGAGCGTCGCTGGACATGATAGAAGATGAGCAGCAGCAGCAGCGGCGGGTTGCCGATGACCTGCACGCCAGGGCTAAGGGTAACAAACTCACCCTGACGGCCCATGAGGATCTTCGCGTGGTTCTTATAACCCTCTACTGGCGCCTGTTCCTCAGACCAGATGTACGCCCCCCCTCCGTGAGGACTCTATTTTTGAGGCGCCTCAAAAATAGACTCCTCACGCGAGGATCTTCGCCTGGTTCTTACAACCCTCTACTGGCGCCTGTTCCTCAGACCAGATGTACGCCCCCCCTCCCCCCAATCCTCGCCCCGAGGTCGGTTCATCCAGCAGCAGCAGCGGGTTGACGATCATCTGCACTCTGGTGGCCAGAAAAGGCCACCAATTGCTTACCTCCTGATGTAACAATGTAGACCCCCCCCCCCCCACCTACCCTGATGTCGGCTCGTCCAGCAGCAGCAGCGGCGGGTTGACGATCATCTGCACGCCGATGGCCAGCCGCCTAAGCTCGTTGTACAGCACAGCGTTGCGCCCCGTGCGCCCTATCACCTTGTCCGCACAGCTGGGGTTGTGAGGGGAGGGGACAGAGGGAGCAAGGAGAGGGGGAGGGGAGGGGAAAAGGTGAAGGAAAAGAGGACGAAAGGTGGGGTGCGCAAGGATTTGAGACTGAGAGGTGGGTCTTAGGATGCAAGGGAGTGGGAGAGGATGGGAGGATATGGTAGAGAAGGGGTGGCGACTCTTGAGTCGAATCAAGAGCTACCTCGGGAGGGGGAGCAGGAGAGGCAGGTATGCAAACCTAGCACCCACTGTGTGAACTTGGTAGAGTATAAGAGGGGGAGCTAGGGATTAATTACAGGACTACCACCCCCCGGCACTCCCGGTGTGAGCTCCAGCTGGTCCAGCACGGGCTCCACTCGCACTCTCTGGTCGATCTCCTCCGTGCCCTCATTGAACCCAATGCTGTGCTGTCACAACTGCCACCCACCCCCCCACCTACCCACGCACCCACCCTCCCACGCATCTACCCTCCCACCCTCCCACGCATCCACCCTCCCACCCTCCCACCCTCCCACCCTCCCACCCATCTACCCTCCCACCCTCCCCCGGGCACTCACTGCATGAGCTCCAGCTGGGCCAGCACGTGCTCCACTCGCACTCTCCGGTCGATCTCCTCCGTACCCGCCAGCCATTGGGTTCTATAATGACACAACCACGCTCACTGTGGGCAACCAGCACACACGGTTCGTTCACGAGAACCCCACACTCACGGTGTGAGCTCCAGCGAGTCGAGCACGTGCTCCACGTGCACTATCTGATCGTTTGAGGCTCACGGGGAGCACGTGCTCCACGTGCCTCAAAAGTCGTGCTCCACGTGCACTATCTGATCGTTTGAGGCTCACGGGGAGCACGTGCTCCACGTGCCTCAAAAGTCGTGCTCCACGTGCACTATCTGATCGCATCGATCTCATCTGTGCTCTCATCGAACCCAATGCTGTCACAACTACCACCCACCCGCCCACCCCGCATCACTCAACTGTGTGAGCTCGAGGGAGTCCAGCACGTGCTCCACACGAACTATCTGGTCGATCTCCTCTGTGCCCTCTGGCAGCCGCAGCATGGCCGCGAACATGAGCGTCTCCTTCACCTGGAAGGCGAGGGGGGGGGGAGGGAGGGTGGGCCGGGGAGTGGGGATGGGGGGGAGGGGATGGGGACGGGAGAGGAGGGGAGGTTGAGGGAGAGGAGGAGGGAAGCGCCGTGTCTCTTGGATCTCCTCGGTGCCCTCTGGCAGTCGCAGCATAGCGGCAAACATGAGCGTCTCCTTCACCTGGGGGGTGCAGGGAAGAACATAGGGGTCGCAGGAGGGAAGCGCCCTCTGGCAGCCGCAGCACCATGGCCGCGAACACGAGCGCCTCCTTCACCTGGAAGGCGGGGGAGGGTGGGGGGAAGGAGCGTTGCGGAGTGAGATATGCACACAGAGAGCCGTTGTCGCCCTACAGGACAGACAGCAAAAAATCCCCACCATCCAACCAATCCAAGCGATCCTCACCGTCAGATCGGCCTGCACGCCAGCACTCACCGTCAGATTCCCCTTGTATCAAATCCTCACCGTCAAATTGACCAATCAAAGTGATCCTCACCGTCAGATTGGCCTGCAGGTCCACGTCGTTCTCCACGAACCCGATCTCTCGCCTCAGCGTCGCCCCGAACGGCTTTCCGCTGAACTCGATGCTGCCCCGGAAGTTGGGGTCGTCCTGCAGCCGTCCCGCCAGCATGTGAAGAAGAAGGGACTTGCCCGAGCCTTCGGGACTGTGAGGGTTAAAGGGAAGGTAGGGAAGAGGGAGGGGGAGATGCACTTCAAAAGGCTTTCCGCTGAACTCGATGCTGCCCCGGAAGTTGGGGTCGTCCTGCAGCCGTCCCGCCAGCATGTGAAGAAGAAGGGACTTGCCCGAGCCTTCGGGACTGTGAGGGTTAAAGGGAAGGTAGGGAAGAGGGAGGGGGAGATGCACTTCAAAAGGCTTTCCGCTGAACTCGATGCTGCCCCGGAAGTTGGGGTCGTCCTGCAGCCGTCCCGCCAGCATGTGAAGAAGAAGGGACTTGCCCGAGCCTTCGGGACTGTGAGGGTTAAAGGGAAGGTAGGGAAGAGGGAGGGGGAGATGCACTTCAAAAGGCTTTCCGCTGAACTCGATGCTGCCCCGGAAGTTGGGGTCGTCCTGCAGCCGTCCCGCCAGCATGTGAAGAAGAAGGGACTTGCCCGAGCCTTCGGGACTGTGAGGGTTAAAGGGAAGGTAGGGAAGAGGGAGGGGGAGATGCACTTCAAAAGGCTTTCCGCTGAACTCGATGCTGCCCCGGAAGTTGGGGTCGTCCTGCAGCCGTCCCGCCAGCATGTGAAGAAGAAGGGACTTGCCCGAGCCTTCGGGACTGTGAGGGTTAAAGGGAAGGTAGGGAAGAGGGAGGGGGAGATGCACTTCAAAAGGCTTTCCGCTGAACTCGATGCTGCCCCGGAAGTTGGGGTCATCCTGCAGCTGCCCCGCCAGCATGTGAAGAAGAAGGGACTTGCCCGAGCCTTCAGGTCTGGCGGATACGGGAAAGAACGGCGAGGGATCACAATTGGGGTCGCCTCGCCCTGCACCGCCCCGCCAACAGGGACTTGCCCGAGCCCCATGGCCTGGATGGACGAGGGGGGCGGGAGGGAGGGAGGGAGGGAGGGAGGGAGGGAGGGAGGGAGGGAGGGAGGGAGGGAGGGAGGGAGGGAGGGAGGGAGGGAGGGAGGGAGGGAGGGAGGGAGGGAGGGAGGGAGGGAGGGAGGGAGGGAGGGAGGGAGGGAGGGAGGGAGGGAGGAGGGAGGGAGGGAGGGAGGGAGGGAGGGAGGGAGGGAGGGAGGGAGGGAGGGAGGGAGGGGAGGGAGGGAGGGAGGGAGGGAGGGAGGGAGGGAGGGAGGGAGGGAGGGAGGGAGGGAGGGAGGGAGGGGGACAGAGGAAGGGCGGGAGGGGACGGGAGGGGTCGTCCTGCAACCGCCCTGCCACCATGTGCAGCAGTAGAAGGATTTCCCCAATCCGCATTATCCAATCCACATTATCCAATCCACATTATCCTATCCACATTATCCAATCCAAATTATCCAATCCACATTATCCAATCCACATTATCCAGTCTCACCCCCTGAAACTAATGCACTTTGCGACGAGCGCATCCAACGCATTACCCCAGCCAATCTCACCCCCTGAAAGTATGATGGCTCACCCCATGATGGGGTGAGCCACCCCTCCAGTGACGTTCATCACGACCTTCTTGCGGTAGATGGTGGCAGCTAAGACACAATTCAGCCTCACCCCATCATCACCCCGGCTCACCCCATCATCACCCCTGCTCACCCCATCATCACCCCGGCTCACCCCATCATCACCCCGGCTCACCCCATCATCACCCCGGCTCACCCCATCATCACCCCGGCTCACCCCATCATCACCCCGGCTCACCCCATCATCACCCCGGCTCACCCCATGACGGCCAGCAGGTTGCCCGGCGCCACGCCCCCTGTGACGTTCATCATGACCTTCTTGCGGTAGATGGTGGCGTCGTCCTCCGCGCGCAGGCAGCACCACTTGGACTGTGGGGAGGGGATGCGGGGCGATGGGGAAATGGGGGGATGTTACACGGGGGCATGGGGGAGATGGTAGATGGTCGCATCGTCCTCCGCGCGCAGGCAGCACCACTTGGACTGGCGCCATGGGGGAACGAGGGGGGAGGCGGGGGAAATTGGGGGGGGCAGGGGGTTAGGGGGAGATGGAAAACGCGGCATTGGGCGGATGCGGAGGGGGAGGTCGGGGGGGGGAGGGGAAGGGGGGTGGAAGGGCGTCGTCTTGTACCGGCAGGCAGCAGCACGGGGACTGCAGGCAAGGGGAGATGGGGAGACTGGGGACGTGATGGGGCCTTCCGCCGCGCGCAGGCAGCAGCACCGGGACTGGAGGCAGTTTTGAGTCGAATCTAAGGCATGGGGAGATGGGGGAATGCGGAACGGGGGGAAGGGGGGACTGGGGACGGGATGGGACCTTCCCCCGCGCGCAGGTAGCACAAAGCATGGCGGTAAGTGTTTGAGTAATGATGCAAATCGGCACTTAAGTGCGCTTCAAGTACGCTAAAAGTACGTGTCAAGTACGCACATTGGTTGAAGGCACGGAGTACTGTAGCCGTGTCCACGTCACCGACATCCCTTCCGCGACGAAACCCCTCTGCGACGGCTGCGACGCCAACGCCTTGACGGCTGCGACGACTTTTCTGTCGCGACGCTCCGTCTGTGCGATGACTGTCGGGGCTTTCCTCCCCGCCACCACCTTCGCGCCGCCCTCGCCATCCGTTATAAGGTTCGACACTTCATGCATATCCTTCTCCATCGAAAAAAAAAATGTTTATCGCTGTAAACCGGCTCAGTATAGAATAAAAGGATCTACAGGCTAAATATAAAATTAGCTACTGGCCTTCCGCAGCACGCGACGGAGACGCAAACTATCGGATCGCGTACAGACCTACTTCACGCACGAAATACCAGATATGATATGATCCTAATGACACTGAATCATCCTAGTCTTCAATTACCAACGAAATACGTGAGCCACGTGGCTAGCAGGTTCGCACGCAGATTACCTAACTATCACCTGGGGAAAAGGCGGGAAACTAACAGCAGCCTAACTCACACAAGTCAAACTCCTAGGGCTATCGAGCCGCGTGGTTCAGGGTAAGCACGCAGAGGGATGGGAAATGCCGCGTGGGTCATTTGTGTGGTTGCAGAGCAGCGAACGGTGTCCCACGTGGTCAGGTCACGTGTGTCAGACCGCTACGATTGGTCGATTTCCGAACTAAGAAGGGCACGAGTTGCGGACGACCTGCCTATGTTGCTCGGCAGCACAAGCGGGGACAAACCGTGAATAGCTGTAGGGTACTGTTCCTGCATCGTGTCACGTCTAGTGTCAACTAGAGGCCCTCCTTGAACAATGCTATTGACACGAATACCTCCTCGAGTCAGGCGGCCTGAAAGCCATGTGACTGCGACCTACAAAAGTGAACCAGACTTTGCTCGAGCTACGATACAAGTTGTTGCTAGGTCATACACAAAAAATATGTAATCCATCAGACTTTGAAATATGTGTTCTAATTAGTGCAAATGTTCGAAGTGATTATTTAGACATGATCTACACCAATTTAAGCTTCCATGTAAATGAACGAAGTGAACACCCTGCAAGAACCACCAACGCATGGCAAGATAGCACAATAAACGTGTTAGTCAAGCTGAAAAAGGCTGGGTAAATGAAAATGACTACGCATTCTGCAAAGCATGAGCAAAAATCTAGTGTTATATAAAGTACACATGATACGCCACCTCTAGTGGTTGCATTGAACATGCTTACTGAAACATAGTCTGGAGCTAGTAGGAGTTGTGCTTACCAGAAGGATGTCATGTAGGTGATTGTGCCGAGGAACCCCATGGCGTTGGACCACTTGAGCAGGGTGCAGCTGTCTTGACTGTAACGCGTACAGCAGGGGGGCAGGGGAGAAGAGGAGTGGGGGGGCAGAGAGGAACAACGGTGCAGGGTCAGGCTAGTGGGTATGGCAGAGAGCAAAGAGAGGGAGTACATTAGAGAGAGGGAGCAGGGTGTTAGGAGGGGAAGGGGGGGGATTAGGGCAAGAGCCAAGGACAGTAAGGAGCGAGGGCGGGGAGGGACATGCACGACTCTGAGGAAGTTGGGAGAGTAGGAGTTGCAGATGCGGGATGTGAAAGAGGTGAGGGGGAAGAGGCGAGGGGGAAGAGGTGAGGGGGAAGAGGTGAGGGGGAAGAGGCGAGGGGGAAGAGGTGAGGGGGAAGAGGTGAGGGGGAAGAGGTGAGGGGGAAGAGTTGAGGGGGGAAGAGGTGAGGGGGAAGAGGTGAGGGGGAAGATGTGAGGGGGGAGAGGAGAGGGAGAAGGGGAGAGGGGGAGGACGTAAGGGGGGGGTGAGGGGGAAGCGGTGAGGGGGAGAATGAGGACAGCAAGCAGTGAAGTAGGAGGGGGACTCACACGAAGCCGAGGAGGAAGCTGGAGGAGTAGGAGTTGCACATGCGGGATGTGAAGGAGGCTGATGCGCACGACGCAGCAAACAGGAGCATCATCATCATCTGAAGGGGGGTGCGTAAGGGGGAACCCAGGGGTTGGCGGAGTGTATGCGGGTTAACCAGGGGTTGGCGGGGTGTATGCGGGTTAACCAGGGGTTGGCGAGAGAACAAAAAGGTACATTTTTTAGGCGCGTGAAAAGATGTGCACGATGCGGGGAACAGGAGCAGCAGCAGCATAATCTGACGCGGGAGTCTGCTACGGAACGAAGGGTTGACACGGGACGGGGAATGGAGGGTTCTTTTGATGGCTTTTGTGTCGACTCGAAAATCGCCTATCGCCGCGCACGGCGCGTCGAGCAGGAGCATCAGAATCATCGTCTGACGAAACCAGGTTTGGCAGTGGGAATGCGGGAAGAGGGGTCTATTTTAGAGGCGCCTAAAAAATGAACAGGAGCAGCAGCAGCATCGTGTGACGAAAGCAGGGTTGCCGGTGTAAATGCGGGACGAGCGCGCAGCATGTGACGAGAGACGGGGATTGCCAGCCGGATACAAAATTACAAGATACCAGCGCAGCATGTGCTGCCAGCAGCAGCATCAGGCGGTGTGGGAAAGGGGTGTTTATGCGTTATTCAAGAAGTGGACTTTTCGTTCTACCCCCTTTCCCCTTGTACGAACGATCCACTTACGAAGCTGCAGAAGAGCTGCGAGCCGAGCGAGTCCATCTTGACCCCCGCGACGGCGGCGACGTGTACGAGCATGTGGATGAAGGAGAGGATGAGCCCCGTGACGCCCGTGCCGAAGAGAAACGCCGTCACGTTGATGCTCCTCCAGGAGAAGTTGAGGTAGCAGAGGATGCTGGAGAGATAAGCGGGGTGGGAAGGCGGAGGGGAGGAAGTGGGGGGGGGAGAAGGGGGGAGAGTGCGCAATGAGAGGCGCAATGAAGAGGAACGCCGTCACGTCGATGCTCTTACAGGAGATATTGAGGTAGCAGAGGATGCTGACGGGGGAATGAGAGAGAGGGGGAAGAAAGGGGGAGGGGGCGGGGTCGTGGGGGGGATGGGGGGGAAGGGGGGGGAAGAGGAAAGGGAGTGGATAATGAGATGCGAAATGAACAGGAAACTCGCGACGTTGATGCTCTTCCAGGAGAAGATCAACTTGGCGGGGGGAGGAGGGCAGAGGGGGGGTTGGGTGGGAAGGGGAGGGGGGGGAGGAGCGGGGGGCAGAGCTACGCCCCATTTGGCGCTGCATTTACCCTCCCGGGAATCGGGGAGGGCGAGTGGATACTTGAGGAAAGAGGCGCGCCCACCGTGACGAAGGGACGCTAAGAGGGACGCGCGGGGACGTGAAGATGCGCTTTTAGATATTTGGTATCTCTCAGGGGCCTCGGAGCGCGATAAATTGTCGTTGAATCGAACCGCAGTGGGCAGAGAATGCAAAACGTCAAGAGAGACGGAATTACTACCGTTTGCGAGGCAAAATTGCACGAAAGATATGCTTTTCAAAGTCGCTCCTCGAACATATACGTTCTCAAGCGTCGACATGGAGAGAGCAAGAGTGGCTGGAGTGTCGTACGCGAAGGTCGCGGAGCAGAAGCAGCATTCGAGGAAGCGCAGCGCGATGGGGAAGGCCTTAGCCGAGGAACCCATGGCTCCGTGCGAGCGACAACCACTACAGGTAAGGCAGAGAGGCCGACGGTGACGAGAACGACTGGATGTAGAGAACCTTTGCTAGAGTGGAGTTAGATTATTGTCGAAAAAGTCAAATTGAAGCTAGAAACACGGGAGGGAGGCAAGAAAAAGTACTGCTGCAGCAGTGAGTTGGAGCGAGTATGCAAGGAGGTCGGAGTGAGGGAGTCAATGCGGTGGACTGTGGCAAGAAGAGGGAGGGAGGAATGGCTCGGTTTTGGCAGGACAGCCCCAAGATGGAAACCAAACTTTCGGGACTCGGGCAGCACTGTACAACTGAAGTCTAACTGTGCGCGAAAATGCGCCAGAATTGCGCCGTGCAGAATGGAGGCGTCAGAAGAATTGCGGGCCTAGGGCACGTTGGTGGGGAAAGGCGGTTCGGCTGGGCTGTTGGATATTGCTCATATCCGTCGATTGGAAGTGCAGATGATCGGTTTGGACGGCTGAAGACTGAAAGAAAATTGGGGCACCGCCAACACGGAATGGGGCAACTGGGCTTATTTTCCTTTCGTGCCCCGTACAGTAGTGCCCCTTTTGTACAGTATCGACAAGTTTTAGCGCCTGTTCGATCCTTTGTCCCCAACCCACAGCACAGAGCCTCCAAAAATTTCGCACCACTGGGAAGAGCGGAACCAAACGGAACCTGACGAAATCAATTAGAACCAAAAGGAACCAGGCTGATTCGAACCAAAAAGTAGTTCTCTGCCAGCCCATAACCGAAGGGAGCTGTTTTTCTACGCGCCAAACCCACGTTCTTGCGCAAAGGCCTAGCGCGGCGCGAGCCTGCCCCTTTCAGAACATTCTTGGTGTACAGTTTGCAAGAGTCGAAATTTCAGCAGCAACTTTCCCTTCCCATCTCCTCTCCCCTCCACCCACCCAATATTCTCGCCTGCTTGCTGTAACCTATTTGGCAACTCCTGCTTCTTTTGTTCTTTGTGTAGAAACTACGACGATTCGTGTGCGATTGAACTGGGAAACCTTGTTTTGTCTCTCGATCACTTGGCGTGAATCGCGTGTGTGCTTCTTTCGCTTCACCCGGCTCTTTGGTGCACGACGCGAGTGGTAGCCATGGCAGAGGGAAAGGACCGGAGCTCGTCGTCGTACCTCCTCATCCCCATCGTGCTGCGCTTCCTCGAAATATGCTTCTGCATCGCATCCTTCGTGTACGTCGCCTTTCTTTCGTGAATGTCGCCGGTCGTTCGCGGATGTCGCTAATCGTTCGTGTACGTCGCGAACCTCCGTGTGTGTTGCTAAGCGCCTGTACATTGCTTATCGGTCGCGTGCGTCACTATTCCCTGGCGTGCATCACTAAACACTCGCGTACGTCGCTCACAGCTCTCTCAACTGGTTTGTCCCGCCCTCCCGTGCCGTCGTCCCGTAGTCGCCGTCCTCTTCTTGTCATCTGCGTCGTCACTACATTTAATTTAGACTGGTTCTTAAGAACAAACCACGTGCTATACCTCCCCTCCCCATCCACTTGCGCTCACCCTTGCGCTGATGACAAGACCCCCATCTTAGTGAAATGAAATTGGGCTACCAGGGCTTTAACTCCACGTGCGCTGCCTCACCACTTTTCCTCCAGCTGCTCTCCCCTCACCCTCGCCCTCACCCTCGCCCTCACCCTCGCCCTCACCCTCGCCCTCACCCTCGCCCTCACCCTCGCCCTCACCCTCACCCTCACCCTCGCCCTCACCCCTTCACCCCCCGGCATAATGACGTTCACGAAGATGACATAACTCGTGCTACCTCTTCCGTGTTCATCCCGCAACCCACTCCCTTTCCCTTTCTCTTTCCTTCCGCTCCTCCATTGCCCCTCATCCACAGTATGACGACGTTTTTAGTATGAGCAAGGGCTTCAATTCCGCCTTCCCATCCCCTCCTCTCTCCCCCCGCCCGCTCATCTCCCCCCTCTCTCTATCCCCTCTCTCTACCCCCACTCTCTCCCCCTACTCTCTCCCCCTACTCTCTCCCCCTACTCCCTCCCCCTACTCTCTCCCCCTACTCTCTCCCCCTACTCTCTCCCCCCACTCTTTCCCTCCACTCTTTCCCCCCACTCTCCCCCCACTCTCTACCCCCACTCTCTCCCCCTACTCTCTCCCCCTACTCTCTCCCCCTACTCTCTCCCCCCACTCTTTCCCTCCACTCTTTCCCCCCACTCTCCCCCCACTCTCTACCCCCACTCTCTCCCCCTACTCCCTCCCCCTACTCTCTCCCCCCTCCCTTTCTCGCCCCCCCCCCCTGCTTTGGAACCGCCACGGTCGACCTCGTCTCTTGTGATCCCAAGCTCTCCTCTCACCCCTTCCCTTCCCCCTTCCCCTCCGCTCCTCCCCCTTCCCCTTCCCAGCATAATGACGTTTATGAAGATGGACTACAAGGGCTTTAACTCCACGTGCTACCTCTTCGCCATGGCCATCACGGGCCTCTGTCTGTCCGTGATCGCCGCGGCCGTGACGTTCCTCGGCCGCAAGCCGGGCATGGCCGTCAACGCCATCCGCATCCAGCTCTACATCAGCTTCGTGAGTCGCGAGTCGCGCGTCTGGCGTCTTCAGTCGGGCGTCTTGCGTCTTGAGTCCTGTCATCCACATCCAGCTTTATTTCAGCTGCGTGAGTCGCGATCGCTCTTAGCGCATCCCAAAACGAGGCGTCACCTGCGCGGCCAGCGCCATCCGCGTCCGCTTTTGAGTCGACTCAAAGGCGTCACCTGCGCGGCCAGCGCCATCCGCGTCCAGCTCCTGTCTGGATCGTGAGTGGCGTTGAGCCAAGCATTGCTCCGTGAGTCGCGTGTGTGACTGCTTAGCTGTGCCACATCTTATGCGCCAGCCGCACTGTCTGCGCTCTGCTCGAGGCTCAATCTCGAAAGCGTCGGGCCAGTCTCCCCTCTTCCTTCGCCCTGCGAATGATGCGTCTGCTGCTGCTCTATGCCGCCTCTGCACTCCACTCCCAAAACCCCCCCTTCCCAACTACCGTCTTCCTAACTCCATGCAAGTTTCCCTCTGCCCGGCAGATGATGCTTCTGCTCCTCTTAGGCGCCTCTGCCACGGCCAGCACCTTCCACTCCCAACCGCCCCCCCACCCCCCCTCCCCCTCCTCTCCTCCCCTCCCCTTCCCACCTTTGCGCATGTCTCCCCTTCGCCCGGCAGATGATGGCTCTGCTGCTCTTCGGCGCCTCTGCCACAGCCATCACCTTCCACTCCCAACCGCCCACCCCACCCCCCCCTCCCCCCCAACCCCCTCCTCTCCTCCCCTCCCCTTCCCACCTTTGCTCCTGTCTCCCCCTTCACCTGGCAGATGATGCTTCTGCTGCTCTTCGGCGCCGCTGCCACGGCCAGCTCCTTCCGTGTCAATGCCTGCTTCAATGGCCTGGGCCTGCTCAACCTCTTGTGCGTTCCATCCTCTCTCACTTTCTCTCGGCTTCTCTCGCTTTCTCTCGTTTTCTCTCGGCTTCTCTCGCCTTCTCTCTTGCTCCCTCTCCCCTCGTGTATTTCGAGTCGACTCAAAATGCACCTGGGCCTGCTCAACCTCCTGTGCGTTTTGTTCTCTCTTGCTTTCTCTCTTGCTCGCTCTCCCCTCCTCCGCCCTGCTTCTGTTTATCATGTGGTCATCCTGGTTCCCCCTTCGCTTTTGACACTGGTCCCCCTGTCTCTCCTCCTGCTCTCCCACCTGTCCTTCTGCGCCCCTCCCACCCTTCCCCGCCCACTCTTTGCCATGCCTGTTGAGCCCTTCCTGCTTTCTCCCTGCACCCTCTTCCCTACACTCATCTCTTCCCCTCCCATCGCCCCCACTCCCCCCCTCTTCCCCCCCCCCCACACCCCTCTGTGCCACCAGTGGGGATGACTGCACATTGCTGGCCTGGTCTGTGGCGATGGGCTATTTGGCCTCTTTCACCTACATCGGCTCCTTTTGGTATGTACTGGTTCAATTTTGCTCAATGCTGATCATGGTGTGGTAATTGTCCTTGAATCATTGTGGTGTGCATTGGTCTGATCAACACAGTATCTTCTGCATTTCTCTCATCCCCCCGACCAATTGCCTATTTTTTCATACAGGCATTTCTTCTTTCTTCTTGCTAATGACCACTAATTGGGCGGCGAGCTAAACGAACAGGCGTAACACTAGTTCCTGAGGGTTCTAGCTCAACCAAACTGTCATGCATTAGGATGTCAGTCGGTCCTCTCGAAAAACGTGTATGACGCAACTGTTATTAGTGGCTGAAAAAAACTTAGCTTGCATAAGATTTTGTTATTTGCGTTGTGCAATAGACCATAGAGAAAGGCATTTATTGTGGACAGCAAAATATGAACTAGAGGGGAGGTTTGTAGCAGTAGATTTGTATGTTAGGAATTATAACTCAGAATAGCGCAGTATTCAATAAGAGGAATTTTATCTACTGAGTGATGATACAAATGAGGGCCAAGGCAATTTATAGGGCGATTGACCAGGGTTGAATGTTGAGGCTTGGACCGGTCAAGGGCTAGAGAGCACCGAGGGTGACGGAGGCGAAATGGGTTCGGGGCGATTCGGGGTGAGGTTGGGGCCCGAATGGGTCGGGGGCTGGTTTGGCGCGTGACTTGAGGGCTGAGCCTGCTGACCTGAAGGGTTCCCATGTACTCCCTGAAGCGAGCCCCAGTAAGGAATTGTAATTCCTTACGTTGCAGCTGGAGTATACTGGGGACATGACCTCCAAAGCAGTCGGGCGATTCAAGGCAAGATTGTCGTCGTTGGCAGGGTGTGATGTAAATTCGCCACGAAACGCGGATGACATCCATTGGGTACTCGCCAGCAGGGCCTAGTGAATCAGCTTCGGCTGAGTGCTGTGTCAGAGCCAGCGCACCTCACGGAAAACCAGAAGCTTCGATTACCCTCGGAGCCTAGTCACGCATGCGCTGGAGAGGTCACCCAGCCTATGTGGCCTGGAAAGAGTGGATGAGAGGCTCGGTGGCGGCTGTTTTCGGTTTTTCCCATTCTGTTCAGGAGTCGTGATTCGTGATTCAAGAAAGCTATGCGACTCGGCAAAGAATTTTGTTCGCCCCTAGCTCCGACATTTCCACTGTAATTTCTGTACAGTGTGATACAGCACCAGTCAATCCTCCTCCTGCCTGCCCTCTCCCTCCCCCCTTACTGTACAGCATTGCCGTGCCGACACGCAAGAAGGCAGCAGGGGGAGGTGGTGGTGTGGCCAAGCTAAAAGCAGCCCTCCTCTCATACGGGCAAGACTCAAGAACCGAGCAAGCAGCCTCTATTTTGTTCAGTTGGGCTTCATTCCATCTCAATTTCCCCGCGATTTTCCCGCATCTGCCTCCGTTTTGTTATCCACCTACCAGAGCCTCGAGGCCACTAATTTAACCAGCTTCTAACGACTACGTAGTACTACTAGTTGTATTTGTTACGCCAAGCCGTTCCGTTTCTTTCAGTCGCAACCATGTCGGCCGTTGCGCTCATTCTCCGCGGATGTCAGTTCGTCTTTACTCTCATCTCCTTCAGGTGAGATACAAGAATATGACCTGGTGTGTTTTGAGTCGACTAAAAACACACGAGAATACGACCTGCTGGCCCGCTTCGGCCTGACTCACTGGCAGCTCACGTCCCATGAATGCTCCCGCCTATTTTTCTCCCACCTTTCTCTCGCCCCTTTTTTTCTCTCGAATTTCTCTCCCACCTTTTTCTCTCCCACCTTCCATCCCGCTTTTTCATCTCCCGCGTTTTTAACCTCCCGCATAGCATCCCTGTGCCGCTGTTTTCAACCCTCCACTCTAGACAGCCTGCTCGCAGCGGCGGACGGCAATCTGACGTCACTTAGCTAAAGCTCACCTCTAGCAATCCCGAGATTGCTCATAATATTCCTCCCCTCCCCTCCCCCCCCCCCCCCCCCCCCCCCCCCCCCCAACACCTCCCCTCGCCCTAAGAACAGCCTGCTCGCGTCGGCGGACGGCGGTCTGACGTCATTCAGCACGGGCAAGTTCCTGCTGGCGGCTGACGTCATCGGGTTCATCTTCGCGTTCGTCGCCATCGTCGTTGGCATCGCAACGATCGCCAGCAGCTCGCTCAAGGATTCGCAGACGAAGATGTCGCTCTACTTCGCCGTCGAGAGCTTCGTGAGTGTCCGGCGCTCGAGAGAGTCTGTCTCTTGGCAATGAAAGGTGCGCTTTCTGGTCTGGTGCTGCTACGCTTTCTGGTTTGGTGCTGCTACCTACTGCTAGATGACTGGGCAGCTCGCTCAAGGACTCCTAGCGCAGATGGCGCTCGACTTCGCCGTCGAGAGCTTCGTAAGTGTCCCGGCACTCGAGAAATTCCGTCTAGTCTGCTCAGTACGGTGGAGATACTCATGGTGGCGTTTCGTTTCGCTACTGGTCGTCCCACAACGCCGCCTGGGAGCTCGCGAAAGACGCGCAGGCGAGGGTGTCGCTCTACTTCGCCGTCGAGAGCTTCGTGAGTGTCTGTCAGCCGAAAGAGTCTGTCTCGGTCGCGAAACTTTCTGGAGCCGAAAGCTGTGCGTTGTGGTTGCTTTACTTCGCCGTCGAGAGCTTCGCGAGATTCGTGAGCTTCGCGAGCTTCGTGAGCTTCGTGAGCTTCGTGGGCTTTGTGAGCTTTGTGAGCTTCGTGAACTTCGCGAGCTTCGTGAACTTCGCGAGCTTCGTGAGCTTCGTGAGCTTTGTGAGCTTCGTAAGTTTCGTGAGCTTCGCGAGCTTTGTGAGCTTGGTGAGCTTCGCGAGCTTCGTGAGCTTCGTGAGCTTCGCGAGTATCGTGTATGCTTTTCGTACGTGCTGCAGACCTTCTTAGATTCGTATAGATTGAATGTTGATCAGTACGTTTTGGAAAGCCGCCAACAATTCGCGCAAGGAATAACAGAAGAAGAATCATGCTCGCTTTTCCGCGACGCCGTACGTGCTCTCACGCCTACTACGACTCTCACCTATTCCCGTCGGCCCTTCCTCATCTCAACGTGTGTCTCGTCGTCCGTGCTCCTCATGGCATACAATGCTCAACCCGTCACACCCACACCCACACTCACACCCAAACTCGCGCTCACACCCACAATCATACGCACACAACCCACTCGCTTTCACTGTGCTCACTATTTCTCCTTAACCCCCCTCCTCAGCTCAACGTGTGTCTGGTCTTCGGAGCTGCATGCACGGGTGCTAACGTGTTTGGCGAGTCGTGCGGCTTCTTCAGCAAGTGAGCGCTTCCTCCCACCTCCCACCTCTCATATCCCGCCTCACCACTCACCTCTCAACTTTCCATGTCTCAATTCTCATTTTTAAACGTGTGCTTGCCCCTGCGCTTGCCCTGCGCTTGCCCTGCGCTTGCCTTGCGCTTGCCCTGCGCTTGCCCTGCGCTTGCCCTGCGCTTGCCCTGCGCTTGCCTTGCGCTTGACCTGCGCTTGCCCTGCGCTTGCCCTGCGCTTGCCCTGCGCTTGCCCCTGTGCGTGACTACCCTCCCCTTTCGTCTCGCGTCTCTCGCAGCAGATCCCGCTCCGTGCACCTCTCACTCTTTTCTTCCCTTTCCTTCCCTTCCCTTCCCTTTCCTTCCCTTCCCTTCCCTTCCCTTCCCTTCCCTTTCCCTTCTCCTTCCTTCTCTTACCTTCCATGCCCTTCCCTACCCCTCGCTCCCCTCTTCTACCCCCTCGCCTACCCGCCCTCTCCCCTCCACTCCCTCCCTTCCCGCCCCCCCCCTTCCCGTCGTTTGCAGCGCATACGACTCGTACATGCCGAAAACCAACACCTGCCTTTATGCCAAGACTTCAGTCTCTTCGTGGTGACTTTTGAGTCGACTCAAAAGTCACGTCGTTTGCAGCGCATACGACTGGTACATGCCGAGAACCAACACCTGCCTTTATTATGCCAAGACTTCAGTCTCTCCTCCTTCCGCCCTTCCCTCCACTTCCCTCTCCTCCCCTTCCCTCCCCCTCCCTCCTCTCTCCTCTCCCCCCTCTGCAGTGAATACGACTCATACATGCCCAAAACCAACACCTGCACCTATGCCAAGACGTCAGTCGCCTTCGCCTTTCTTGCTTCTTTTGCGTTCATGGGCACACACTGGTGAGTGTGAGGGACACTTTATAGTGCGTATGATGGAGCTGCAAGTGGGCACACACTGGTGAGTGTGAGGGACACTTTATAGTGCGTATGATGGAGCTGCAAGTGGGCACACACTGGCGAGTGCGAGGGACACTTTATAATGCGTATGATGGAGCTGCAAGTGGGCACACACTGGTGAGTGTGAGGGACACTTTATAGTGCGTATGATGGAGCTGCAAGTGGGCACACACTGGCGAGCGCGAGGGACACTTTATAATGCGTATGATGGAGCTGCAAGTGGGCACACACTGGTGAGTGTGAGGGACACTTTATAGTGCGTATGATGGAGCTGCAAGTGGGCACACACTGGCGAGTGCTGGGGACACATTTTAGCGAGTAGAAAGAAGCTGCAAGGAGGCACACCCTGGTGGGTGCAGCCGGGGATCCACATTATCTAGTGAGTACATAGCAGCTCCACTAGCACCGGGCATAGACCCTTGCTTGCAGCTACTCACGCCTTGACTGCTTCTCACCCTTGTTAGTGTCGCTGCTCATACGACCTGGTTGCTTGCTTGCTTCTCAAATTGATGGTTGCTTGCTTGCAGGTACTATGTTTTCCTGATGAAGCGCGGCTAGTGGCGGTGCCATCTTAACTCACACCTGCGTATGCCAATGCCAACATGACCTGCGGTTGAGGGTGTTGGGTAGCTGAAACGCTGGGCTCAATTTGTAGTCGCCTTTTACTAGATGATTGGGTAGAGTTTGAAGGGGTGACGACAATGAATGATGCCAGATGCTTTCGTATATATTGTTTAACGATATGTGATGCAGTGCTGACTTTTGTGAACTACCATTGTAAGGAATTTCCATTCCTTACTGAGTCGTATGCTAGCGCGTACACCCGTGTGAGAATAACGTAATGATTAGAAGGAAGAGGGGACAAGGAAGATATAGGGTTTGGTTTGTACTCTTTAAGAACACACCCATTTTAGCCTATAACTTCTACATGCAAATGCATGTATAAGTTGACACACCCCCTAGGCTAGATAAGGGGTAGTGCTAAGCAGGGCTGACGTTTCAAAAAAAGGCACTCTGAGCCAACCCCCCAAAAAAAAAAAATAGTATGAAGGGCCTTCAGCCGAAATTTTTGTAGTCTGAAATGTCAGGGTCCAGAACTCAGCGAGTCTGATTTTTTCAGGGTCCAGGACGTACAACCAGAGTCACACACGGGAAACACCCCCACAGCGAGAAACTTCCCTCCCTCCTACACCTCCCAAAAATTCGGCTAAGTCCCTTGCAGCCATAAAAAATCCTCCCACAGCCCGCGTCCCCCCCCAACCAGCAACCTTGTTATACCCTCGTTTTGCATAGTTGTTAAATGTGGGAAACGGGGAAGTCATTCCTAAAAACCGAGGGGGTAAAATCGCACTGCCACGGAAAACGAAACTGAGGAGAGGGGGAATCGAAACTGACGGGGAAATGGGGAGGGAATCAAAATGGAGGGGAGGGGGGAAGCGAAACGAAGGGGAGGGGGGGGAAGGGGGGGGGCGGTCGAAACGGAGAGGATGGGGGAAGCGAAACGGAGAGGAAGGGGGAAGTGATTGAAACAGAGGGGAGGGGGGGGAATCGAAACGGCAGGGAGGGGGGAAGCTGGGGAATAGGACGGTGGGAGAAATTTCGCGACCTTGCAGCGTCCCGGTGGGGAAATCTTGGACGTTAATCACAACATAACATCGAACGATTGATATATGTCGAAACGATCGCAAACGATCGTGACCGTTACATTTTGGTAGACTTTCAGTTGACCAAACGGGCAACTGGCGAGAATTTCCCTATGTTAAAAATGCGGAATTTACTCTCATTCCAATGCAGTTAAAAAAAAAAATGTGAAAGTCTCATTCAAAACTTCTGGGTTGTTCCAGGTGTTAGGGAGGACTGTATCTGACAACATCACTTAGTCGAAATTTAGGGTGGGTTGTGGGGTGTGTGGGGGATGTCTCTAGTGTTCCGAGACTTCGCCGAAATTTTAGATGGGTTGTGGGGTGTGGGGTGGGGGTTGTCTCTAGGGTTCGGGTAACAAACAGTGAAATTAATAAATAGAGAGAGAGAGTACACAAACATATACCTAAATGTTGTACTCTCTAGAAGATAACCCTATACAGTCTATACAAGCATGATAACTAAACATGTTTGACACACCCCCTGGACTGCATAGGGGAATGTTCTAGACAAGCAGCTCAGGGTGGCACTACTAGTCCAGCCTCTGAGACAAGGGTCTAAAAGACCAGTCAGAAGGAGTACAGGCAAGGCAAGAACTAGTACAGGGCGGCACTACTAGTCCAACCACTGTAAGAGGACACAAGTCCAGTCTGAGTGTACACACAGATATATAGGACAGTACAGAGTCAAGGCCCGAGTAAGTGAGAGACTACAGGAACCAGACCAAGCTGGACACAGTGCCGCTGATGATCTTTAGGCGCAAGCGCCTTCGTAAAGATATCAGCTGTGTTGGCACCGGAGGCTAAGTGTACTACGCGAGCCTGGCGACGCTGCTGTAGCTCACGCAGGAGGAAGTACCGCAGCTGGATGTGCTTCGCTCTGCCCTCGAGTCGAGGCTCCTAACACAGGAGGATCATGGCCCTGTTGTCAGCGTACAGGACCGGGGCAGAGCTAGGCCGCTCACCTAAGTCAGTGAGCAAGAAGGTCAGCCAGCGGAGCTCCTGTGCCGCCATGGCACCGGCGTAGATCTCGGCCTCACAGCTGGACTGGGCAACAGACGAAGAGCGGGTAGCTCTCCACGAGACAGCACCTGAACCAAGGCTAAAGCAGTAGCCCTGGGAAGACCTGAGCGTCTCGGCGTCGTCTGCCCAAGAAGCGTCTGTGTGTCCAGTAAGGACCACTGGCCTGCGTCCGCCTAGCACTAACCCCATGCCCGATGTACTTGCAAGATAACGCAAAACCCTCTTAGCGGCAGACCAGTGCTGAGGTCGGTGCCTGCCTGTGGCCACGAAACGAGCCAGGATGCTGAGAGGGTATGCGAGATCTGGGCGAGTGCAAGTCATCAGGTACATGGGACAACCCACTAGCTCAGCGTAAGGACCACTGGGATCTACCGACTCCTCAGGAACTGGAGCGGAGAGTCTGTGGTCCAGAGGAAGAGGGGTGGGCTGTGCGGAGGAGAACTGAAGGCCGAACCTCTGAAGGACCTGGCGCACCAAGTGTGACTGAGTCAGGGTGATGGTGCGCGCGGCTCTGTCCCTGGAGATCTGCAAGCCAAGGTAACGGCGCAGCTCTCCAAGGTCAGTGCAAGTGTGTCTCTTCAGCAGCTCTGCCTTCACGGAGGCCAGTGCGTCCCTGTCAGCAGTGGCAAAGACCAGGTCGTCTACGTAGACGAGGATGTAGAACGGAGTCGAGCCAGCACGAACGAAGAGCGAGGGGTCTGCAGAGGACGGAAAGAACTGCAGGTCAGCAAGGGTAGCACGCAAAGTGTCGTGCCACTCACGAGGCGCCTGGCGCAGGCCGTAGACTGGCCGCCGCAGAAGCCACTGGGTCCCAGGGGGGAAGGTGCCAGTAAAGCCCTGAGGGCGACGCAGGTAGACCTGCTCGTGAAGGCTGCCCTGAAGAAAGGCAGTGGAGAAGTCGAGGGAGTGAAGCTCGTAGTCACGCTGAGCCGCTACGTGTAGCAGCACCCGAAGAGTAGTCATCTTCGGGGTAGGAGCGAAAGTCTGAAAGAAGTCCACCCCCTCGCGCTGACTGAAGCCTCTAGCCACGTAGCGCGCCTTGAACACAGGCGGCTCTCCAGGAGGGCGCTTCACCTTGAAGAGCCAACGGCCATCGACCACGTTCACCCCAGGTGGGGGAACTGCGTCGACGAAGGTGCCGGTGGATCTCCAAGATGCCATCTCCTGCTCCATGGCAGCTATCCACTGAGAGGCCCAGGGTCCCGAAACCGCCTCAGCGTAAGTACGAGGGGTCGGGATGTCGAAAGCGTCTGGGTCACCCTCAGGGACTAGCAGCATGGAACAGAGATGGGGAGCAGCCTCGGACAGGAAAGCAAGCTCAAACTGGCGGTCCTCCAGGACGTCACTGCCGAGGGCAGGAGCACCCCCGACAGACGGAGGACAGGCAGGGTGAGAGACCAGAGCGGTGGCGTAGTCAAGGCGGCGGGTAGAGGCGAAGTCAGCGACCGCAGCGACGAGGGCGTCAAGACTCGACACGGGAACAGACGGGTCGGTAACGAGAGAGGCAAGGACCCGAGGAACAAGAGGACGAGCGGCACGAAAGGAGTCGGACAGAGGAGGAGACGCAACGACAAGAGAAGACGGAGGAGGAGACGGGAGGAGGGGAGGTCGAGACGCGTGGGAACGGAGCAACATAGGGTGAGAGCGCGGGACAGGGGAGACAGGACGAGCACGAGAGGGGCGGTGAGACCAGACGTGTGAGGGCGGCGTCGGGTCAGGAGACAGAGGAGGGGACACAGGAGGGGAACGAGGGGGAAGACGAGCCGGGGACGAGTCTGGCAGAGGGAACACGGGGCCGTAGACGGGAAGAGTGGGAGACGGCAGGAGAGGAACAGGCGCAGGGTCAGGAGACAGAAGGCCGAGCAGACGGAGGGCGGACACAGGCGGGGACTGCTGCTGCGGCGACACAACACCAAGACCAGGGCCACAAGCTGCGCGACGGCTACCTCCCGAACCCTCCACACCTGCACCCCCAGAAGGGACACCCCCAGAGTCCACAAACGGCGGCAGCGACGACAGCGGCGGCGGCGGCGGCGGCTGCAGCGACGGCTGCGACAGCGGCGGCGGCGGAGACGACGGCTGCAACGGCGGCGGCGGTGGAGACGACGGCTGCAGCAGCTGCGGCGACGGCGGCTGCGGAGGCGGTGGAGGAGGAGACACCGGGGGAGGGACAGACGGCGAGGACTGCGCCGGAGGACTACCAGAGTCAGAAGACTCGTCGACCGGGACGACCGACGGGAGGGGGGTGACGTGAGACACACCAGAGGGGGCCGGACGGGGGGGCGGGGGGGGGGGAGGGGCAGGGACCACCAGGGAGGGAGGAACCAGGAAAAGGGGGGGAGTAACCGGGGGACCACGGTGGGGAAAGCGGCGGTAGAAGGAGACGGACTCGTCAAAGGTGACGTCGCGAGAGTGAAAGAAGCGGTGAGACGGCGGGTGGTAGAAGTGCCAGTCGGACGCGTCAAGGGGGAAACCGAGGAAGACGCAGGGGAGGGTGCGGGCAGTGAGCTTGTCCGTGCCAGAGGCACGAACGTGAGCAAGGCAGCCCCAGACGCGGAACGCAGACGCGTCACCAGGGGACCCGGTCCACAGAAGGGTCGGCGAAACCTGCGGCCGCTGGGGGTGCGGCCACAGGTTAAGCTGGTGAGCGGCGTAGCGCACGGCGAACGGCCACAGAAAATGGGGTGCACCGGCGTGGATCATGGAGGTGCGAGCCACCTCCATGACCAAACCGATGCGTCGCTCAGCGACCCCATTCTGCTGCGGGGAGTCCGGCAGGGTAAACGTCTGGGTGATGCCCTCCGCACGACAGAAGCGACCAAGGACACCTGAGGCAAACTCGCCACCCCGGTCGGAGTGAAGGCGCAAGGCAGGGAGACCGCGGTGGACACGAGCAGAGACAAGCCAGGGGATGAGAACGTCAGGCACGTCGGCCTTCCGCTCCAGGGGGAAGACGGTGGTGTAGCGCGTGAAGTCGTCGACAAGCACTAGGAAGAAGCGCTCGCGACGCGGCCCATGGACCGGGGCTGGGCCCCAGACGTCCATGTGCAGAGTCTGCAGTGGTGCGGTGGTAGGGGGAAGAGAGGAGGAGTGAGGGGCACGGCGGAGCCGGCCCTCGACACAAGGCGTGCACGGTGGGGCGGGGGAGG